TGGATGCATGATCTGCATAAGCCAAGCTTTCTAGAGGTTTCGTGCCAGGTATTTGGGCCTGATTAGAATACAATATTACGCCCATCTGCAACGCTTCAGTTGCTCCTGACTCGTGTAAGATTCTTTTCTGCTGTAGAACTTCGTGATATGCTTAGGCTCAATTGACTCAAGAAAATCTGCATAAAAAGACTGAATATTAAGTAGAATTTTAGAAGTAGTTACTGGAATATGATCTTATTGACTCATTCAGTGTGGTTCAATTTAGCAGCTTGTGTTTATTTTTAACTGATAAACGCATTGAAACAATCATAACATATACAATTTTGCTGATCCGTGAAGGAAAACGGCTTAAATAACTGTTTGTGTTTTACAAATGGCGTGTCTATAATGTAATCAGTTTCAAAATTTTGTCATGTATGTCTGTTGTAAATTAAAAGCTAAATCATACGCTTTGCAGAAAAGGTGTTGCTGCACACCGATAATGAATATACAAGAATCATCGTGTAACTCTAATATGAAACTCTAAAGTCTAAATTCTAATATAAACTTTAACATATGAAAGTAGAATTTATTTAATTTTTTGAAGTCACGGTGTAGGGTGGGAAACCAAGTATTGAATATTAATGAAAATATTAACAAGGCGAGATTCCAGCGAAACGAGGCCGGGCTTGCTGATGCACTCTGACCACATCCATTTACATTGCTGACAGCTTAGGTTATTGGGCTGGACGACGTCAGAAAACGATGTAATGCGGGTAAACTATAACCAAAGAAAAATTTAGAAAACGTGGGAATCTAAACGACAAATAAAATGGATTTGAAGGGCGACTGTTCGAATGCACAGCCAAAAGTAATGATATGTATAGCAATGCGATGGAAGAAAATGAAATGAAAAATAAATAATGAATGAGGTAAAAAGTAGTAGATAGAACTTGTAACGATGCGGCTAATGGAAAAATTGTAGGTTGCTTGAAGAGCGGCGCGTGACAAAGAAGCCTAAAGAATAGATTAATGATATACAAGAAGGTTCCTCAACGCCTTCATTTAAGGTAGAAATTAATACTTCAGTACAAACGCGAACAGAAAAGACGGAGAGAGTAGGAGATTGTGCTCGTATTGTCCGCAACGAAATGGATGGAGAGAAGAGTAGGAGATTGTGTGCTCTATTGTAATTCGTGTGTGCTCCTTTGTGCTCCATTGTCCTTTTTCAAAGAAATTATAATGAATTTACTTGACGATTCCTTTGATCTTAAATACTTTATGATCGAAGAAAAAAAGGAAGAATTCCTCCGTAGGCCTCAAATGTTGCAACAAGAACCCTCAGCGAGCGTTTGGAAACAGATTTTCTGTAGATAAATAAGTGAATGAAACACTCATATATTGTAATTTAGAACAGGTTTTTGTCTTGAAATAGCTGAAAAAACACCGATAGCACAAGGTATTCGTGTGATGATACGTTATCGGTGCCGGGGACTAAAACCAAACACGTGCCGGCAATTTGCCTTTGAAGAAAAACGAAGTGTTGCCAACCCTCCAGCTAGTCTTCCGTCGATGCCATGAAGATGAAAGTTCCGTGAAAACGCCTCGTGGTTCATTAATAGTAGTCAGGAGCTCGGATACGCTGGCACATTCTTCTCAGAATGGATATTTTTTCTCGCAGCCGCGTTCCGTATTCCGCTGTAGACTGAGCGACCACCCACGGTAACGAGGAGGCAGAGCAAATCAGGAGGATTAGGCGTGGCTTGTGAAACAATTATGAAGGAATTTTGGTTGTTAAAGAACTTTTTCACCGCAAATCCGTTGAAAATAACTGCAATGTGCAGGGACACTGAATGTGAATTATAAATGAAGCCTACCACGGCTGATAAATATTGAATTTATACATTTTTGCACGACATAAGTTTTATTTCAGCGATTAAAAGGAATTAAAATTACGAAAATGTAGAAAAAATTCTCATTCTTGGGCATTGTACTTGGAAACCTTGGTAAAACCTTGGAAATAAAAGCGGAACTTTCAAAGGCCTGAAATGTGTGGAAAGTATGAGCTTACCAGCGAAATAGAATTCACTTATGAAAGAATTGTTTTTGTGGCTAAATCGTTTTCCATAATAGCAGGAAACATTTACAAGTAAACAAAACATTGCTGTGATTGTATAAAGTTTTGTAAAAGCGTGTTTTATTAGTTTTTGTAAAACTTATAAAGTTTTATAAAAACGTGTTTTTTGCGTGTTTTATAAAGTTTTATAAAAACCAATTCGTGAACCACACTCACGCCTGTCGAGAGCAACCGTCAGCACTTCAGTAGGTGTCATGTAGCGTGTCAGCGCGACACGCACGCGTATCCAGGACGACCGTCAGCACTTCAGTGTCATGCAGCGTGTCAGCGCCACACGCACGCGTGTCGAGAACAACCGTCAGCACTTCAGTGTCATGCAGCGTGTCATCGCCACACGCACGCGTGTCGAGAGCAACCGTCAGCCCTTCAGTGTCATGCAGCGTGTCATCGCCACACGCACGCGTGTCGAGAGCAACCGTCAGCCCTTCAGTGTCATGCAGCGTGTCAGCGCCACACGCACGCGTGTCGAGAGCAACCGTCAGCACTTCAGTGTCGTGCAGCGTGTCATCGCCACACGCACGCGTGTCGAGAGCAACCGTCAGCACTTCAGTGTCGTGCAGCGTGTCAGCACCCACACGCACGCGTGTCGAGAACGACCATCAACACTTCAGTGTCACGCTGGTCGTCGGAGCGACGGCCGTCCAGCCTGCGCCTAAACGGCCGTAACCCGGCGGTGCTAATGGCTGGGCGGGCCGATGCCTGAGCTCAGCTACGCGGCCATTACCTGCCGTGCCCCGGCTGCCTAAATCACCACGAAGCCTTGGGTTACAATCAGACCACTTACAGACATCCATGGACCTGCCTCCCGCCTCAGCTGCTCACCAATCAAGCTTAAATCACCGGGCATGTATCGGCGGTTCTTTCTTATGCACACGATGTGGTCGAGGATCTTACAGCGATTTTCATCGCTTAAAAAAGTATGTATGTGCTTAAAAGTACGTTTTCCAGTCTGTTAAAAATATCCATGCAGGAGTGGCTTCCTTGTGACTGAAATAAATCGCACGGTGGCAGAGAAACACGAAGAAAATGAAATGATGAGGATTAGAACATAAGTTTTGTGCTAGTGTGGATAACTTAAAACAATATCTTTTTTGTTTATAAATTTGTATGCTTAACTAAAGATAGAAATACTGTACTGTTATTTTCTGCTGCAACAATATGAGCATTCTAGCGAAAAAATTGCTTTTAAAAACGGATTACCAGGGCGCTGTAACAATAATTAATTAGTATTCGCAAATTGCAACATTTTGTCTGTCACGAGGACGCGATTTTTTATATCCTGGTTTTCAAAAAATGAAATTACCTGATAATCAAGAATGTATTTTCGATTTATGAAGGCCTGGACTAATAAAAAAATGTTTCGACACTTTGATTATTTATTTAAGAAATTTTCCTTAAAACAAGTACATTCTAAAATTTTTTGGGATAAATAATATGGTATTAACGCTTTCTTTTCAAAGAAGATGGCGGTAAAATTAAACGGTTTAAGCAAATGTTACAAGCTTCCTCTGACGATGAAATGGATCATCGAATAAACGAAGTACAATATAGCGCAACGTCCAAGTCAATGCAACTAAATGTGGTTGGGAATGCTTTCAGAAATTATAACGTTGCAGTTTATTTCGTGTCGTTCCTTTTATTAATATTTTGCGAAAGTTATCTTGTTTAACTGTTACTCTCAACTTCAAAGTGTACCTCAATAATGGTATTCAAAGACGCGAAGATTGCTACGGACATTTTAAATTTACGTTCATGAAATGTACTAATATTTTGACCATACGTTTAGCAGTTTTCTGGGATATGATGGCATCCCAATTGTTCTGTGAACAGGAAAAATCAACATTCACGTTAAAATTCTTTATGGCATAGAAATCACATTCATACTTTTCTTCATACATGACAGACGTATTAAATGTTCAATTACATGGACTTCATTAATAGGCAATGAACAATCTTCAGTTCATTGAGGTTTTGCAAAGCATGCGATGCTGTCCTCAAGTCTACGCTCTTACTACACATTATATGCGCACTTACTGTGCGAACGTCCCCATATGCAAAGGAACTTTCATCATGTACAGTATGTGGTGATATAAAAATTCTGGGTTGGCATTAAAAGTTGTGGAGGTAATGAATCAATTCATTTATGACAATTGTTAAATAGTAAATTTTAATACTGGTGACCGAAAAGAAATTATTATCTGCGCCACTCTTTTCCCATTTTTAATATTCATTTGGTAGAAATACCATACTTTAATAAACAAATTTCATGTATCAATGAGCCTCGATATGTGCCATTCCAGTCCTTCTATCGTAACCGACAAGTTATTTGGGAGCAGCGGGAAGTCGGGAATGCCCCGGAATGAATGCGTTGACTTATCGATTGACATTTTCCCAGCTATAATGGTAAGTTTTAACATGCATTAAGGAACATATTTTTTTTAGTAATAATAATAATATTGTGGGCTAGCTTATACATTGATGATACTTAGTGACCAACTGACCGTCCACATAAGGTATGAATAACAAATTAAATTTTGATGTTACTATAAAGGTAAAAAAATGAAAAATATGCTATGCAATTATTACGTGTTTCAAATGCTTTTAATAACAAGATTGATAAAACCCTGAATAAATTATTTTCAGGGCCGAAACCACGCAGGCCGTACGCACCGTACAGCCAGGTTGACGAATGTAGTGAATCTCAAACTTTGGTGTTGAAATATCAATTAAATAAAATTGACGAACACAATGTATAGAGTTAAATAGAGTTCGATAGCATATATTTAACCTAATGATGTAACATAGTGAAATATAGATTGTTTACGCGTTAAACATAACGTTAATATAAAAAAATGAGTAAAATTACACCGAACTGAATACTTACCAAAGCAGCGTTGAAGTTGAAGTCATGCTCGATGCAAGAAGCAGGGCAACCGCCTATTAATATCACAAATTAATTTGTATTCAACACTTTGGTTTGCAATGCAAAGACTGAATCTATTCGCTCATACAGCGTTCATGTATGCATGAAATACTGGTTCAAAAACTTACGTGAATGCATTATTGAATACGTGAAACCTTTCCTCTATGAGTAAATACTCGAACCGAATTTAAAATTGTAATTTACAAATCTTTCATTCCAGTCACAATTAAAATGAGGTTTGCAAAAATGGGCCAAACTTTGTGCAAATTATTGATTTCAATTGAAGAACCTGGAGAGTTTGCAGCGGCACAACCTCACTCGGCAACGTCAGGTAGGGAACTGCGCGCCGACACCCGCACCTCAGAAATCAGAATGCGGCACTTTTGCACTTGCTTTTCTCCGCGCACTGATTACACGGGATGACCAGCGACTGATTGCTTGTTGAAGAACAGCGAATTTTCATTCCAATAGATCTGTATGGTAGGATTTTTTTCAACAATGTGTATTAAATCATAAAAAAAATTTAGTATTTATTTGATTTATAAAAAAATCCGAAAATAAAACCTTCATTGCCTGTATAACAAACGTAAATTCTACCTGCAATCATAGTTTAATTAGTATAGAGACCTTTGATTAAGGAATTATTTCAGAAGATGAACAATTATTAGAGTAACAGCAAAGCATTCAGGGATGGAGCAGACGCTTACATCTCCTGACCCTTGACCGACCACGGCGGGCGACCTCAACGAGCGGCGCGAGCTCCGTCCGGCGCAGAGAAGCCGCGGAGCGAAGCAAGAGACTTGAGAAATTCGAAACTGGGTGTCATGGGTGGGAAAATGGAATAATGGGTGTCTTGGGTGGAGAAATTTGAATATATCTGGGTGCCATTGGGGAAGAAATTCGAGTCTGAGTGTCATGGGGAATAAGGGGAATAGACTTTTAAACAATTGATTTAAACGACAGAAATCATATTAATGAAGCTCCAAAATCTTGAAAAAAAAATTTCCAAAACCTTTACCAAAACTTTGGACTTCAAAGATGATTTTTTAAATTCCAAGATTCCAAAACATTCCCTGCAAACAGATACAAAAATGGAGTCAATATTAGCCCAGATACGGGTGAGTATCATCCTCGAGTAGCCCAGATACGGGTGAGTATCATCCTCGAGTAGCCCAGATACGGGTGAGTGTCATCCTCGAGGAGCCCAGTAACGGGTGAGTGTCATCCTCGAGTAGCCCAGATACGGGTGAGTGTCATCCTCGAGTAGCCCAGATATACGGGTGAGCGTGAATAAAAATCCCCGATCCTGCTAAATTCTGGACGAAAGGTTGCCTCTTCGAACGCAACAGAAATTGTTTGAAACTATAACGAAATTTATTAAATGACTTGTTGATTGAATTGATATGAAACGACACGTTGAAAGTACGGAGCGTTCCTTATTTATTCCATTTAAGTTGATTGGAGTAAATTTAGCTCATAAAACTCGGTAGGTTTTCATTTTTTCACATTGAAGGCTATTGTGTATTGACTTGAATAAAAAATTACTTGGCCTTTCCTCTGAAGGCTGGGAATGAGTTTTTTTACTTCTTATTTTTGCCACGTGAATCAAAAAGTAAAAATTAGAAATCAGGCACCAAACTAACAAAGTTATTCGTCGTAACATAATTATTCTTCTCAGTCAACGCGAACATTATTAATCGATTATGTTTCGCGCATCATCTAAAGCAAATAACATAACGTTATGAATATGTACATTGTGTTGTTGTCAGTCAACAAACTCACCACCTTATATGCTAAGAAGGCTGGTGCTTAAAAAATAAACAAAAATTAAGTCAGTAAAATCAATAATCAAACATGAGAAGAGGAATATCTGAATGATCAATAAAACCTTATACTTTTATATAAATACTTCCGTTTTTTTTATATAAATAAAGGAGGTAAAAACAATATAAGATAAGTTATTTTCTTGCGCAGTTCTTCGAAGCTAGATTAGAATGTAAAAGTTATTTTAAAATATGATTTTTAATAGATTAACAATAATTATATTTAGATAGTGCTTCGGATAAGCGGACATGAGACAGGCGCAGTCTCTTTAATATTGTTTATTGGCAAGAACCCATACATAACGCTTTAAGATTGGTTGCGATCCTCGTGTACTTATTTTCTATTTCCTGTAATTTATTGCATTGCATTTATTTAACTTTTCCGGCGCGAATCCTTCCGCAATTCATATTTTTCGAGCTGGGTGAGTCTTGGTAGAGAAAACTGAACGAATAAATAAGAAGTTGAATAACATTCAATCCTTAACTTTTCACAATGTTGTCTTCATTGTGAACTGTTTAATCACATTCAGAATATATTCTCTACAGGCTACGACCTGAATAATCTGGCAACGTGGGTGTGCGTGCCAAGCTTGTTCTGTGAGACGTGATAAAAGAAGTCATTTTAGCTCGCAAGTCGGGGTTTCTCAAAAAAATTGTCAAGGTTTCCACTTTACCTGTCCATTTTCATAAAGCGCCCGCGTATTTGCATCAGGACGTGTTGCGCAGCAAGTGCTGAAGCAGCAGCAACACCAGCACCAGCAGCAGTACCAGCAACAGCTCCAGCAGCAGCAACAGCAGCGCAGCACAAGCCGCAGCTCATGCAGCAGCACCAGCAGCAGCAGCAGTAGCAACAGCAGCACAGCACAAGCCGCAGCTCATGCAGCAGCACCAGCAGCAGCAGCAGCAGCACCAGCAGCAGCACAGCTCATGCAGCAGCACCAGCAGCAGCACCAGCAGCAGCACAGCACAAGTAGCAGCACCAGCAGCACCAGCAGCAGCACCATCAGCAAACGCACTAGCAATTTCTCCAGCTCTGCTTCTTCAAACTTCGTTGCATCGAAAAGAAAAGCCTTAATGGAGCCGAGCTCCTGAAATTCCAAGAACCCGCTTCGCAAGATCGGAGTTGCTTTTCAAAATTTTCTGAGGATCTTTCAAGTGAAAATGTTAGAGACGAAGCGTCTTGAGGGTGAGGGCTCCGGATGAGGTGAGGGAAGTGACAAGTCGGTGCTTTCGTTTTTTTATCTTATATCATCGGTATATTTGTGAAAGTATATAGCCTACAACAAAGGATATAAACATAAAGTCAGGAAATAGCAATTTTAAAGCTCAGGAGGGTTTTGGTGAGGGAGCAATAATTGGTTTACACGTGCCAAAGACGTATTAGTTTTATGAATATTGATGTCAAAACGAACTAATGACATGAAGAACTATGCAGAAATAAAGCAAATCGTACTTTCAACACAATTTGTGTCAATGTATAATTTGTTGATGATAAATTTGAACGCCCATGCTGAGGATACAGGAAGTGTTGAACAAAAACGAACAAATTGCTAAGCAAATCCGACAGCAACAAGCAAGCTGAAGGTCGGTAGCTGAAGGTCAAGGCAACAATGATAACGATCATAATCACTGTAAATATATTTTTTTAGACTTGGCCACTGCATTAAGGGCTGAAAAGTAGGATACACAAACTGAATAAGTGACGTATGCAGAAGTGACCTCAATAAGTGACCTATTGCCCTTATAAGCCGCATTAAGGGGATCGACCTGGCATTTTGAAAACTTCTACAGTTATTATCCGATTGTCATGTGTATCATTTGAAAGAACAGAATTCCAGCTTTAAGATGAGTAGAAAAACCGGAAAAGCCAAAATTGATCGATTTTAGCCAGGTCGATCCCCTTAACAGTTATTATCAAATGTATCACTTGTTCATCACAAATTAATAATTATATCATACTAAAGCATCATTTGTTGCGAGTAAGTTATAAGACAGGGTTAATTACAGCTTGTTAGGTTTCTCTACAAGTCCAAACTATTAAAGTTTTTGTCGATATTTTTCTGCTGTAATTCTATCTTAAATGATATATACTTTTATTTATAATTATTCTGCATCATTCAAAGATTAAATAAATGTCACCTAACTACTTTTAAATTCCTAGCTACTTACTTTAGTTACTCTTTTTACCTAGTTACTTACTTTAGTTTAGTCGATTCTCGCACAGCTTTTGCGTTTTGTGATTTGGTGCGCTTCTGTTACAATTTTAGTACACCTTTTGACCCATTCACGCAATTTTTATCTCATTCACAATTTTTCACGCACATTTTTGACCCACTTGTCTTCTCGTGGGTCCTCACCACCAAGCCGTAAAATACTTGGCTGCGTCATGGTAAGTATTTTATGGTAAGTATTTTACATGGTACTTGGCTGCGTCATAAAATCATGGCTGCATGTGAGTCTGCGATGACTCAAATAACTGACATTACGGCTAGGTCAAGATAACTTAGAAAATATCGGTTTGTAAGTGCGTTCATTTACGAAGATACGGTTACGACATTCATGTGTGTAACACTACTCATTAATGTTTCTGTGTGAATATGTAGAGATATAAGTATACCAGTATCACTAACGATATTAATGAACCTAATAATGCCTTGCCGAGAGTTAGCTGCTTCGTTTCTTATATAGCATGCGATTAATAATAAAAGTATTAACATAGTGCAAAAATTAGCAAAAAATGTTGCTGGAAAAACATAGAATAAAGCCTGTTGTTGTTCCTAAAGCATACTTAATTAAAGACACCTATTAATGTTCAGTGGGCCGCGTGCGTACGCCCATCATAATTTTTATTAGCCTTCAAGTCAAGTTCTGGAATGAATGCTAAATCTTAATTACATGCAATGTTGATCAGTGAGGCGGTCACAACCATGATTGGATTGATTTTGTTGATGCGGATGACGCAGCACGGAACTCAGATCTGGGTTTAGAGCGTATTATGGGCGGTGTTCCGTTGGCCGACGGTTAGCAGTCCCCGGATTGCAGATGATTTATATCTGGGGCGTCTCATTTGATGCAAATCCTGCCTTCTTTGTGTGTCGGATCGAGGGACTCTGACAGCTCCCCTTGCTCGAGGGTAGACTAGATCATTTCCCTCAATCCCTCCTGACGCAATCAGCTGCAGATTTGCCGCACGCGCGAGCAATACGAACTCGTTAAGAATTCATGACAGTGCGTGTTTGCACGTGCTAATCCGAGCTGAATACGAATTCAATTTCTAGTCGGTGAAACACGTTATATCAGCGAAACATGCATTTGTATGAGAAACTTTCATAAGATACATTACGTTGACTCTTGGTGACTTATATAACGTGAAATTCGATCCTGTATTTTTTTTCATAAAAAATGTTCTTGAGGCCAACACCCAATAGATATTTAAGCGACGATAAAAATAGGTGATGTTGATCAGTCCAGTATAATGGGGAAATATTTTCCATCTAG